TGTTTAAATGATGCAGCAGGTTACTATAGGTAGGGCAATAATTGGCCTGCTTGAATGAAAAACTGATGTGAGTGAACATAGATAGTGACACAGTCTAAAAAGTTGGTTGTTGGCAAAGCATTCTAGAGCCTCTCTCTTTGGAAGACATCAAAACCATGCATCGCAAGTAGAGGGGAACCCTCACGGACTCTTCATGTTCACAGGTCTTCTCTCCGTGTGCTTTGCTGCCTTGTCATCCCCTCAATACTCAGGGGACTTTCCATCTTTATATGGCCCAGTTCTACCCAGGAGTCCATCTTTCCACAACACTAGAGCAAAAAATAAGACAAATCTTTCCTATTCTTCTGCGTGTCCCTTGCTGTTCCTGTAGACAACAGATAATGCTTTGCACCTTAGAGTTCTCACTACAGGGAACAGTCAGCGCTACCCCTAACAAAAACAAGAAATGTGAGAAGGTGGAAAGATTCCAGGATGTCACAGTGATTTATCAGTCCTTTTTATGATAGCACCAGGGGCAGGAGAGTAAACAAACAGAACAACAACAACAACAACACAAAAAACCTTTATCTTCTGAAGCATTTATTCCATGAGAGATGGGTAATAAACTTAAGGATGACTTAATGCTGTATGCTAGATGTTATGAGTACAAGGAAGATGGGGAGGGAGGATAGGCATGCTCCACTGGGGGTGGTGGGCTACTTCTGAAGGAACAGTTAGACTTTAAGCCAAGCCCCAATATGGTAAAGGAGTATGGCCCACAGATACTTCTCCAGGGAGGAGACCCACTACTGCCAAGGCCCTGAGTCAAAGAAACAACAGGGAGGACAGGAGGGATAGAACAGAACAGGATAGAACGCCAGACAACTACTGGGCAGAGAACAATTCATCCTGCAGTCAGAGCCTTAAAATGGAAAAAGCCTGTCCGGCATGGTGGCACATGCCTTTAATCCCAGCACTTGGGAACTCTGTGAGTTCAAGGCCAGCCTGGTCTACATAGCGAGTTCCAGGACAGCTGGGGCTACAAGGAGACCCTGTCTCAAAAAAGACCAATAAAAAAAATAAAAATGGGAAAAGCCCAGAGTATGAGCCACACTGACCTGGCCTTGAAATCAGCTCTGTTTCTGTGTTGCGTATCTTGCTTCCCCCACCTCCACTCATCTATACACTTGACTGCAAAGGATAACTGCAAGGAGACGTGGAATGTGAAACCCTATCAGGGCACAGCATGTGCCAGTTTCCTGCCCACCCCTCTCACCCTGGTCATAGGACTCCTCCAACTAAACTCCCATTGTGGTTGAATAAAAAGTGTCTAGAAGAAGGCCATTCAAGGGCCTCTCAGAGATCCAGGATGTATTACCAGGTACAAGAAAACAAACTGAAAAATATTATTTGTCTATGTACAATATGTAAATAGACAATTATTTGTCTACTACAATATGTAATGTAAAACAGTAACATTTTAGTTTCTTCTGTACTTAAAAATCTGGAGAAATCCACACCACACTCTTAATGGTACCCATTGCTAGGGCTTAAGATGACCAAAGATTTTGACAACTGACCTTCAACCTTCTATATTTCTTAAATGACTGAACATTCTACAATGAGCATTTATTACAGTTGCAAAAAAATGACCACATAGGCCAGAGTTGATTAATACAGGGGAATTTACCTTCTGGTCTTGCTCTATATAAGCACCACATGGTCTTCATCCCACCCAACACATAAGATAGTGTGGTAAGATCCAACTTTAGGAACTTGGGGAGTTCTAGGGTTCTCCAATGAAATCTGGACCATAGAAGGTCTTGAATGAGAACTGAGATGGTCCTTGGCCATCATCTGTGAACTCCAACTGGTTCCATTCGAAAGGAGATGATAGAAAGTGAACTCCTTTCTACATAAAATGAGAACCCTCGGTTGCCACCAAGGACAGAAACAGAGACCCATGAAACTTAAGTACTTCAAAGTAAACTAGCCTCGAACTTCTATGATTTAAGGTTGTTTCCACTGAAAAGTTGTCATTTTAAAAATACTAAATTACGGGATATTATAAGAAAAACTACATGCATAAACAGCTTGTAAGGTCAGCCAAGGAAGGAGAAATATCCCAGTTCCCAGTGATTTATTCGATAATGGACTAAAATGTGCATTATAACCAGTCACAGCAAAACATGAGTTACATAGCTTGGAAATGTTAGTCCTCCCTCTCCCCTCCAAAATATACACTCTTGGTGAGAGAAATAAAAAGTAATGCTTAGGCATCCATAACTGCCCATATGGCTTTTCCCAGTTTAAACATACATTTCAAGAAAAAAATACATAGTCCAGAAATATTTTTACATTTCCTGAATTGACCTTTGCATCAAGAAGTGTATTCATCTCTGCATTAAATAAAATTCTGCTTGCATGGAAGGCTACTCTACCTTTCATTTTGCAATTATGAGATTCCCAACTGGAAAAGACACTGATAGTTCCAAAGGAAAACCCTTATCTTATCCAGAAGTCAAGCAGCTCTATACTTTGTTTCTTCCCAGTCAGAACTTATCTTGAATTTATCTGACCATAGGCTGGAAATCTCCAGGGCAGAAAAATTCTACCTCAGCATTTCCATAAGTGCCAGGAAGTACATGCTTCCAAAGCTGAGTGTTTTCTGTGAGGCAAACTTCTACCAAACTGCCGTACTGTCCACAGAACTCAGTACTACATAATGAAGGAGGTAACATTCTGGTTCTAGCAAACCAGTCACACTACCCAAGGAAGAAAACAGAGCTCACAAACTCTACAAGACACAATTTTGTGTTTCCTGCTTAATATTACCTATTATACCAATTTTTAATTAAAAGCTATAATTTCTCTGGGATACACTTTTCAGGTAATTCCTAAAGTTCAACTATACCTTTTTTTGCCACTGTGTCAACTGTACAGCCAGAATATAAAATCTAGGAGCTCCAGTAGGTGAATTTTCCATTAATGCAATTACAGCAACTTTAAGTCCACAAGAACTGCTAGGAATGAGTGACAAAATCCAGTACCCGAGCTGTAATAATGAACTTGCAAAAAAAAAAAGAGGGGGGGGAATATATATCCATAGCTGAATGCACAAATTCCAAGAACTTTGAATGAATAATTGCCACAGTCATAGAAACTATATTTTGGTACATGGCTGATATGGATTCTTTTACCCCATTACAGCACTCACAAGTACATATGATAAGGCATTGTTGTGATGATTGACAGTACAGCAAAAGATGGTGTTCAAGGCAGCCAGAAAGGTAAGGTGGGGTGAGATAAGGAAAAAAATATGTTCTCATTCTACATGATTTATATACAGTTTAAAGGTTTAAAGTGAGAAACAAATTTTCAAACTTAACTGTTTGCATGGGATAGTTCAGAAGAATGCCTTAGATCCCATTTTTAAAAAAATATACGTTCAGTGCCACCTCAAAAAAAAAAAAAAAACTTCTGCATGGACCCAACAGTTCTGTAACAAATGCCTCTCCTGTTGGAAAGCTAACAAAGTTGGTATGGAATCTATGAAACAGAAAATTGGATTAGAGCCTATGTGCTCATGCATGAACTTAATCTTAACAAAAACACTAGAGTTAAAAGCTGTCCCCAAGTCCTCCAGCAATCAGATGCAATGGAAGATGAGTTGCATCTTTACCCTGGTCCAGACTGTGTAACCTTGGGCAAGTCAGTTAACCTTTCTAAGTCCTAGTTTCTTCATCTGCAATATGGAGATAAACAGGTCTGCAATGTGGACTAAAGGAAATCACAAAGAAGTTTTAGCTCAGTGCTTGGTCCACATGAGCATCTTTCTCATGATTAGATGTGGCGCTACAGCGCAGCTGTCATATTCCAACATCTTGCTATACTCTTTTTAATTTTATGCTTCCAGCTCCCGCTGTTCTTTTAGCTACATTATTTCAGGGGAGGGGAGCAGGTAAGCAGTTTCATACATTTCACTTTCCCCACTGTTCTTCAAAGCAAGGTAAAAAGTCAGGAAATAGGTAACAACACTGAAGAGAAATTCAGTGCTGAGGACATGATGGTGTAGGAATACATAGTATAAATAAAGCATACAATTTCAAGCTATAACACATAAGACATTGAATCATAGACATTTGAAAGAAACAAATACCAAGCAACATTAAAAAGAATAGAAGGAACCTATATGGGCCTATCTCTACTTCAGTATTGGTGACTATGAGACAGGCTGGAATATGGGGTCTGATTTCCAACAGGTGGCTAGTTTTTATCATCTTCAGATGCAAAACCATGAAGAGTTTGAGTATGCAAGTCTCAGAGACTCTATTCAAGGTCTCCTCTTGACTGTCTAAAGAGACAGTTTTCTGGGTTTAAGCCTCCCTGGCAAGTTAGCAAGCAGGGAACTGTCTGCCGTAGCTTGCACCTGTCCTCTAAACAGGATGCTGGGCTGACAGTAAAAACCCTCCATTCTTTCCAGTCCATTCTGCCGCTGGGGCGCCTTCTGACAAACCGGGAAAGCCCACTAGGAAGTGGTCACGACCAACCAAAGCCACAAATCCCCATGGTGTGGGATTTCCATCTGTATATCACTTCTGAAAACCGAAAATAGGCGCCCGCTTGTCATACTGCAATGGGATTCCCCCCTAGAAGCAAACCCCCGCGCCTAGCTTGCATGTTTTATTAATAAATGCAAGATGGCACAGGGAGGCAAAGAATGGGAGGTAAGGCAGCTACAGCTGGACCCGAACCAGGGCAGTTTGCAAAAATAAATAAGAAGCATGTGACAAGAGGCAGATTCACCAGGCTAGAGCTGGAGACCTGGGGCTGCCCCGCGGATCCGCGCCTAGCTCCTCTAGCCCAGGGCATGAAGGTCAGCTGCAAGATCCCAATCCTCCCGGGCACTCGCCCTGCAAATCTTGACCAGCCCCTGCCTCCTGCCCCCTGCCCGCCTCGCCCCTCCTGCCCCGGCCACCGGTGGGGAAAGCCCGGCGGCGACCCGCTGCGAGAACACGTACCTGCAGCCGAGGCTCGGAATTCGCTTGGTTTTGCAGCAGCTGGGGCCCGGGCTTTTGGTCTCGGGGCTCCCCTCTTCGCGCCCCCTCCCCCCCACCCCCTCGCGGCCCCGTCGTTCCCTCCGCCCCTCCGCCCACCCCGCTTGGGCGCGCGCGCGCGGGGGCGCGCTTTCGCGCCGTTTGCTCCGAGGGCCCGCGCCTGCGCCGTCGCCGTCTGCTGTCCGAGTGAGCGAGCGCGTTCCGAGGCTGCGGAACGACAGCGCGGCTGTCTAGGAAACGGCTGCCCCGCCGGCCCAGGGATCCGACCGCGGGCTGGGGCCGGGCGGGCCGTCACCCAGGCCGGAGGCGGCGCGCGGGCATCACGGTGTGGGTGAGGGGGTCCCGGGCAGGGTAGCGGCCTGCGTGTGCACCTGAGGAGACAGGCGGGGGTCGCGAACGCGTCGGAGGGTGAGGTTGGCGGGCAGAGAAGCAACAAGTGCGGGGCGGGTGCCGGGGCCTGCGTTCCGCAGAGGGCGCCTGCGGTCCCGGCTTTGCGGCGCGTTGCTGCTTGCACCGCGCGCTCCTCCTCGCAGAGCCCGGAGCGGGAGCGGGCGGCGGCCGCGGCGTCCTCCCAGGTCTGACGCCGTGGCGGGGGGACACTTTTGTCGGGGTTGAAGCAGAATCAGCGCTCCCCACGCTCAGCCGGCCAGGACCCTCATTTGATGGTCTCAGTCGGGGACCTCTGAATGGCAGGGTTTCTCGTACCCCACACTCGTGCATTGGTTCACCCCAAAGAAGCCTTTGAAGGCATCCCCCATGACACCCCAAGACTTTCTATGACCATAGATACAGCGTGTCCTGTAGATTTAGTGCTGTATACATTAAAAAGATTTTTGCTCTTGAAGTTATCTTCCATCCCAATTGAGAATGCCTCTTTTAGAGTCACGGTTCCTAGTTAGCCCATGGGGACGATGAAGTCGGTAAGCCATCTGATGTACCCTCCAGTGGTCTCTGAGGATTAAAAAAATAAAGTCCTCATGCATAATATATCTGTCTGCGGGTGCTGCTGTGAGCACAGTTATTTAAGCAGCTTCTGGATTCATAGTACTTTTGGTTATTTGTAGTTTCCAATTTCCGAAAGGAAAAAAACAAAAACAAAAACACAGTAGTCTCCCGTTTCTGGGAAAAAAAAATTTTTTTCCTTTAGGGTCCTAAGCCTTTTTATGCTAAAATACTTTAGTGACTGAAAACCTAAATTCCAGGGTGGTTTTCGACTAGCTGACAGCCTTGATTGTGAGTTGTTTTTTAATTTTAAACATTAAGTATACTAGTTAATAGGGATTACTGTGATGTTTCCATACAGGCGTACGTGGTGTCCATTCAGTCTTCTACTCAGTACCTCTGACCCCAGCCACCTTCCCACTCCCTAACAGTCCCCTTAATGTCTTTCTTTTCCCAGACTTCCCTTGCCCTTTCCTAAACTCCAAGAAAATTACTATTTGGTTAGGCTCACTTGGCTCCTAGGAATGTCCAGTGTCTTTCTTTTTAAAATTATTTATATTTTATGTGTATGAATAGTTTGCCTGCATGTATGGAGTGCAGCACATACGTGCAATAACCACAGAGGCCACAAGAGGGCGTTGGATTCCCCCGGAACAGGAGTTAGGACAGTTATGAGCCACCGTGTGGGGGCTGCGAACCGATTCCAGGTCCTCTGCAAAAGCAGCCAGTGCTCCTAACTACTGAGCCATCCCTCCAGGCCTCTTCTTCCCACCTTAGCCTTTCTAGCAAAATGATGGAAATTAGAGTTGAAGATTTTAAAACCCAGCTCCTAGAATTGCCTCAGGGGCTTCAATCAATCTTTTTTCTTTTTTTAATTTGTTTTTGTTTTATGTGTATGAAATATTGCCTGCATGTATGAAGGTGCACCTCTGTGGAGGTCAGAAGAGGGTGTTGGAACCCCTGGAACTGGAGTTGTTAGCCATTTTATGGGTGCTAGGATTTGAACCTGGGTCTTCAAGAACTGCCAGTGTTCTTAACCACTGAGTCATCTCTCCAGCCTCTCAATCTTTCCTTTTTTTTTTTTAAAGGTATTTCTTAAGTCATTTTATTTCTTCTTTTGATAATTCTCTGTGCAGATCTGTAACCTGTTTATTTTTTATTTTCAATCTTTCTTAAACACAGAACTATCTAGCTACAGAGTGGATATCTATTTTTGACAAACTGAGGGAAAAAGGAAAGTTTCTTCTTTTGGTTCTCAACTCTAATCTATACTTTCAGAAGGGGAAAAAAAGAGGAGACATTTGTAGGAGTTAATTCCATTTGACAGAGGGCTGGGGTAAAGGTGTGTGCCACCATGCCTGGTAGTTTGTTTGAGGTCTCACTATATAGCCTCAGCTAGCCTGAACTTGCTATGTAGATCATCCCATGTAGGCCTCCATCTCACAAAGATGTGCCTTCCTCTTGCCTCCCAAGTGCTGGGATTAAAGGCATGGGCCACCATGCCAGGCAGATTTTTTATTGTTTGTTTGTTTTTCTTGTATGGTTTTGGTAGTTTGTGATAGCAGCCTGAACAAAGACATTCACCCATTCTCTCTCTGGAAGGGGCTGCTCTCTGCTCTTCACGTGTTAGACCTGTCTCATTTGGGGAGTGTAATCAAATGCCACATCAGTGATGCAGTTTTTCTATTTGCATTAACTGAATTAGATTCTCGTCTAGGGTGTAACTAATGCAGTATGTTTAATTGTGTCTTTGTCATGGTTTTGCTAGGCAGAGGCAGGAGACACAGCTCCCAACTGTCACCCTCAGCAACCCAAGGAGTTCCTCTAGAGTTTTAGGGACCTCAACTCATTCCAAACAGGGATTCACTGACACAGTAAAACATTTAAGGACTAGCCAGCTTATGAAGCAGAGTTGGGGTTTAAGAGAGATATTTTAATTTTAAAATAGAAAAGAAAAAGAGGAGCTGGGTTAAGAAAACTTAATGAAGGATGTGTGGAATGGGAAGTACAGTTTTCTGACAGGTGGTGGCAACATTTTTAACTACATATGATACAGAAAAAACCTTCCCATAGCTTGCCCAAGTTGTTACAAGTTGTTATCCACTCCCTTCCCTCTAGTTGTAGAAGTCTACTTCAGATTTTATTAAAACCATTGAGAAGCTGGGGCTCAGCAGTTAAGAGCACTGGATCCGGGTTTGAGTCCCAGCACCCACATAACGGCTAACAGCTATCCATAACTCCAGTTCCCGGGGATCCAACGCCCTCTTCTGATCTCCATGGGCATTGCATGACATAGGTGCACTTCCATACATGCAGGCAATATACTCATACACATAAAATTTTAAATACTTTTAAAACCCGTTGAAAAGCATTCATTTATAATGGTAATTAAATATTAGAGTAGGACAAATATTTGCAGGGAGAAAATTAGAAGACATCAACTTAACTAGAATCTTTGTATTTTAATACTATTTTTAAAAGTCTGTGCTACTTTAGGATAACATTTTTTTTCCACAATGGTTGTCTAAAAAGACCTTCTGGAGGGAGAAATCTGTATGAAATGTTCACAATAACATCTTTTAGGGATGTATTTGAGTTTGTTTGCTTCTGTGGCACTGGGGAATGAACCCAGGGCCTTGTGCATGCTGTGCAGATGCTCTGTTGTTCAGCTATATTCCCAGCCACCCATGTCCTCCTTCTCTCACCTTCTTTTTTTCCCCTCCTTCTCCCTAACCCCATGGACATTGTAGGTGAAATCATTTTATGTTGCAGTGTGAAGTAAAAAAAATCCCCAAACATTTATAGCTTGTCAGCTCTGTGTTTCCCCCTGGTGGTGTGCTACTTTCATAGCAATGCCCAAATTAAAATCTACCTTCGATACATTCTTTAGGCTGTTGAAACTTTAACTCAGAAGGGATTGTGTGACAAGATATCTTTCTGCTTTCTTTTTGGTTTGCTCCTGTTTTCAAATACACTAAGGCCTAAGATCCAGGGAAAGATTATCCCTAAGGTTCACAAATCTGGAGGAACTGAAATATATAGCAAATTTCACTTGGAGCATTATTAAACTTAGCCCTTAGGAATCTATGAAGAACACTTGTTTAAAGTCAGATTCTGGAGCCTTTCCTCAAGCCCACTGAGATCTAATTTCCAGAAGACTGACTTGGTTTGTATTTTTAACTGCTCCAGGTCATTATTGTTGATAGAAGAGGTTGGGAAATCCTTGAGCTACAAATAGTACAGGTGCAGCTTGAGTAGACCAAGGTGAGGGATTTTTTTGAGTGAAGTAGCTATGCAGCAACAAAAAAACAGGCAAAAACAATAAAAATTATGAGTGGAAGAAACTTTAAGATTTATTTTTTGCTTTCTTGCCAGATAATACTATTTCTAAGGTAGGTGTAATTGCCATGATACCCCATATCAAGATGCCTTTTGAGGGAGGTCAGATTTTCTTTTAGCTGAAAAGATTGCCTTTCCCCATATGCGGTGAGACATGCCTGTAATCCTAGCATTGTGAAAACCAAGGTAGGAGAATCATGAGTTTGAAGCCAACCTGGGCTACCTATGGAATTAAAGTCTAGCCTGAGCTATGTAGTCAGACCCCCCCCATCTCAAAAATCCAAAATCAGAAACAAACATTGCTTTCAAGAGTACCGGAAACATATCAACAGAAATTTTATTCATGTACAGAGTATGTTCACAGAAGGACAAATTGGAGATGATGTTGCTCTTGTGAGTGTCTGAAAAAGATTGGTATCAGGGTTAAAATTTTGTTCTCTTGAATCGACTAAAAAAAAATAGAACCTACAAATTTGACATCTAAGGATTTGTGAACATTGGTGAATACCCCAAATCCTTAAATTATTAATGTATAGCCACATGTGGATTTGAGAACTCTTCTACATGGTTTACAATATAGCTTCACTAATTTGGAATGTACAGGGAGAAAGCTAATCTGAGTTATTGAAAAACTTGAAAAGTGGAATGTTATTTTGTGTGATATTTATTTTGAGGTTTAAGTGTACATAGTAACTGGTAACAGCGGGTTTTTTTTTTTAATCCTGCTGAGGTAGCTTTAATTTGTAAATATGTCTGATAGAATTAGCAACATTCATATGCATATGGGCTATATGGTACAACAGAAAGCACAATGCAATGCAGTTGTTATGCTGCAACAAACAATTAGGTTTTCCTACTGAGCTTCATGGTGCTCACCTGTAATCCCAGGGTGAGAGTGAGGCAGGAGGATCAAAAGTTTGAGGACTACCTGAACTTCTCAAGGGGTTACCACCAGCCTGCACAATTTAACTAGAGCTTTGTCAAACTAAAAGGTGAGAATAGCTATGGATATAACTTAGTGATAGAACACTTGCCTAGAACATACAAGGCCATGATTCAGTTCCTAGCCCCCCCACACACACACAAAGATTTCATACAAGTTAAATTTTAGCTGGCAAAGATTTTCTCCAATTCTGTAGGCTGTCTTCTCACTTTGAGATTGTGTGTGTGTGTGTGTGTGTACGCATGCACAGAAGTGTTTTAATTTCATGCAATCTCACTTATTAATTATTGGAATTATTTCCTGTGTTGTGCTATTGGGGTCTTTTTCAGAAAATCCTTGCCTATACTTGCATTTTCAAGTATTTTTGCCAAGTTTTTTTTTAATTCAGCAATTTCAAAATTAAAGACTTTGATCCGTTTTGAATTAATTTTTGTGCAGGGTGAGTTTCATTCTTGGCCTTTTGGCTAAGATCAAGTGTGTGTGTGTGTGTGTGTACTTAATTTCCCTAGCATCTTTTCAATATAGCTGTCTTTTTTGCAATGTATACCTTTGATACCTTTTTCAAAAATTAGGTGGCTATGGAGTTGGGGAGATGGCTCAGTTGATAAAGTACTTGCCACTTAAGCATGAGGACCTGAATGTGGCAGCATGTACCTGTAATCCCAGCACTGGGGAGGTGGAGACAGAAGGATCCCAGGGGCTTGGTGGCCAGGTAGTCTAGCTGAATCCTTGAGCTCCTAGTTCAGTGACAGATTCTGTCTCAAAAAATAAAATAGGAAATGATAGAGAAATGCTCCCAGCATCAACCTCTGGCCTCTGCATACATGAATGTGCACACAGTAACACATTCACATGCATATACCACACATGCAAAGAATTTCACACAAGAAGTCCCTACAGTCATTCAACAGTGCCTCCCAAATTAGCACATTTGCCATTCTGTGTAACCACTTGGGGTTATGTTTTATGTGAGATTTTTCTTGTTATTAGACAGAATCTTGTTAAATTTATCCTAGACTGATCTTAAACTCATGGTTATTCTCCTGCCTCAACCTCCTGAGTGTACCACCATACCCAACTTAGGTCATGATATTTAAGAATGAAAAAAATGTGAAAGGTGTTTTGTTTAGAAAGAGGTCTCCCTGTAGCCTCAAGTGGCCTGGAATTCCATATGTAGACCAGGGTGGCCTCGATCTCACAGAGATCTGTCTGCCTCTGCCTCCTGAATGCTGCAATTAAAGGCATGCACCATCATGCCATGCTAAAAATGTGAAAGTTTTGAGGTATAGTTTTGGTTGGTTATTACCATTTTTAGTTCATATGTGAAATTAATTCTTTTGACTTTGGAATGTATTGTTAATATTTGTTTTAAAGCTACAGACTAGATCAGGAAAACAGAAGGTATGATGTTACTTAGTTTTATGACAGAACAGTACCTAAGCATAATTTTTTTCAAAAACATTTTAAGTTACAATACATTTTTGGTACTATAAAATCTATTTTCCTTTGCAGTGGATTACAAATGAAGTTGAATGAAGGAATTTTTGTTGTTTCTTTCCTAGCTATTAATATTTCATTTTGTGATTGTTACTGAAAATAATTTTTTGGCTAGTAGAGGGGTATTTATAAAAGATCCTTCTAGATATCAGCTATTTTAGGTATACTGCTAGTCCCAGAGGATCACCAAATGAATGATACTCAGTTGCTAAGTGAACTTTATTTTGTGTTTTTATTTGGAAGTTTGACATACTTCACAAGCCAACTATTTCATTGGCTACACAGTTCATGTGCCAAAGGGGAATATCAACAAATATATATTGAAAACACAAAAGGAGATCCAATGTTTCAGTTCTAGTATACTGTAATTGGGGTATATTAAAACCAAGCAAAGACAGCTCCAGTCCTAATTTTGACATTTATTAAATGCTTACAGTATGCCAGACATCATTCTATGTGTATTAATATATTAACTTTTTATAACAAATCCTATTGAAAATAGTTATTATTAGTCTCAGATGAGAAAACTAAGGCACACAGAGATTAAGTAGGTTTTTCACGATCATACAGCTAGTAAGTGGAGGAGCCAAAATTCAGACCTAGACAGTCAGATTCAGAGACCTCAAGTTCAGCTCTAGTGCCCTCCGGCTTCATATGTATACACAGAGTTGTATACTGTGTAGATGGAAAGCATTCTGGATCACAGATTTCATCTCAGCGCATTCTGTTATCTTCATTCACTAAGACAATGAATGTCTCTGATTTAGAGATGACAACTCATTCTGTCTAGAAGTTTTGTGAGCTTTTTTAGTTCTAAGTTTTTTATTATGATTATTTTAGCTAAAGAAGGAAAAGTGATTTTTTTTTACTTATTAGACTTAAAAAGTGAGCCAGAAAAATAAAGAACTAACATGCTCACTCTTGAAAGTAGATAAATTTCTGATGTTTTGTAACAAGTTGCTAAAATATACTATTATTAAACCTGTTGTGCTCTTATTTGTATGAATATGAAAGGTCATGAACTTCTGCATTCCAACATTGATGCCGCTTTCATACACTTAAGGTGTTCTGAACCACTGTCTTGATCTTCTCTTTCACTCCCATATGGAATGAATGCTCTTTGGAGAAATGACCTTTATAAGAAGGTAGATCAGTATTATATACTGTTTTCCTTCCTCCTTTCTGAAGGCACAAACCTTATTGAAATGACTATCCCTATTAAGTCCCTAAGATAATGCAGGCAGAATTTTTTTTTACAAGGGAAACAAGACAAAAAGTAGTTTTCATAGTAAAAAATGTACAGTTTGGGGCTGGGGAATGGCTCAGTTGGTAAAGTACCTGCCATGCAAGCATAAGAACTTGAGTTCAGATCCCCAGAATCCACATAAAAAGTTGGGTGTGCAAGTGACTGCCTGGGGTCAGGGTGAGGAGTGTGGGCAGAGACAGGTGGATCCCTAAAGTCTGTTGGTCAGCCAGCCTAGCCAATGAACTTCAGGGTTCAATGAGAGACCCCATCTCAAAAAATAAAGGTGGAGAGCAATCAAGGAAGATACTGATTGTAAATGTTTAGCCTCCATATGCACAGTGACACATGTGCATGTGCATTCTCTCTCTCTCTCACACACACACTACATATACAACCCCCAAAGTCTTTTTTTATGTGTTTTGAAAAGATTCCCCCTACCCAGTAATTTTTAAATAAAATTTGATTTTTCCTTTAAGCTTACTTCTAGCTTTGTGTTTAGAAAAAACAATAAATAGTTTTCCTGGGACTTTAAAAAGAAGAGGGCTAAGGGAGGAGAAGTTAATCATCTCAATACAGAAACTTCTGCTGCTTATTCCAAAGTCCTCTGAGATGTCATTAAGGGAAGAGTCATATGAAATCTGTAAACATATTCCATTTTCCCTTCATGTACTGCTAAAGTTATCCAAATATTTTCATCTTTCTTTTCTGGTGGCCATGGTTCTTATTTCATCAGGAAAAGTAGAGGTGAGCTACAAGAAGGCCATTTACTCCTCACTCTTCAGCCTAGAAGAATAAGGACAAGGACAGAGCTAAGCACACAGCAGGTAAGTAACTTTTCTTTTTAATGTTTTCGGGGCTACACGTGTAGCCACAATTTGTTAACTGTAATACTAGGTTATTGGTTAGATTTAACTAACAGATGGTAAAGGGTAGTCTCTGTAATATGGAAAATACTGTAATTTGTTTTTCAGGTTGCAATTCAAATACTGAGAAGTCTGTGTTTAATTGTGTTTTAACTATAAAAATAGCATCAGAAACATCAAAGTGCTGTAAGGTGATTAAATCTGGTCTTTGTACTTTAAAAATAATATGGGTAGGATTAAACATTTGGAATATAAGAGTTTATAGAAAATCCCAAGTTGTCATGCTTAGAAAATTGAAGACTCCAAGTGTTATCATAGCACTTTTCAAGTAGGTGAAATGCTGTCATACTGAGGATGGTGCTGCCCCTGTCTAAGACACAGAAAAAAGTAATAGAAGAAACTTAGGTTAAAAAATTAAAGATTGCGAAATTAAGAATGTTTTAAGAGTGGAATTTCCTTGGGAAATTGTAGAATTCTTTTTCTAGAAGGTCTTCTAAGTAGTGATTCATCTGCCAAGAATAGCTTATACCTGCTTCAGTAACTGTCATGAAGCTTCCTGCTCTCATGACAGTAAGCTTTGTTTTGAAAAACAGAGGGTGGTCTATGTCTTCAGCACTAGCTAACATAGCTCTAATAAAAGAACATATAAATCTATAGCACTTGACTTTTATATTACAGGAAACTGTAACATTATTAGTGCAGAAAGTCATGTACTTTATCCTGTTTACTCTGTTGTTGGTCATGTAATTATCATTAACCTGTTTAATTTTTATGGTTCATGTCATATTCTCCAAGTACCTCAGTGTTAACATTGACACTGAATTGTGGATCCTTAATGAATTTATCAGGAATAGAGAGAAAGACAGGAAACAGAGTTTAAAAATAGTGTGTTCATGAAGGTTTACTGAAGACAGTTCTCTGAAATGTGAGATAAGATGTGAGAGGTGTCCATGAATGGACTTGAACCAGTGTCCGGTCTACAAAGAGAAGGGTAAACACAGAGGAAACATTTCCTTCATACTTCCAAGTGAAGCCAGCCATGGTCAAGCAGGACCTTTGACTTATCTTCACATAGATGGAACTGGTAAAAGAAAAGAGCCTGGGGCCTTTCCCAAGCCCATGTGACCCCTGAGGAACAGATCCTTAACCTTAAGAGTAAAAATAAATTGGTTTATCTGAGCCAACTGTGTGGTCTTAAACACTCAAAAGGAAAGTATAACCAAAGATTAAAGGGTTCAATATAATTCTTTGAGTCCATGTGTATAGCCAAAAACTACATAACAAGAAACAATGCCAGACAGGAGATGTCTTCCTTTCAGTTGTTGGCCAGGGTGGCCCAAGAGACTCCCAGACAGTAACCCAGCATAGAACTGGGAAAATGAACAGCAGACCCCAATTTTATCTAAAGGAATATTGGCAACAGGTTGCTGCTAGATGAGGAAGAGCTGATCTTCCTAAAACAAGGAACTCTAGATAGGCTGCCTAGACTCAGCAGATGGACTAGCACTGGGAATGGCTGGGGCCACTGGTAATATAGTGGACAGACAGTAACAGGAATGACAGAGAATATGGGCTCCAGTGGGGAGGGGAGGCTATGGAAGGGTCCCATTTGGCATGTGGGTATATAGATGAATAAGATTGTTTGCGAGGTTCTGTATGAAATACACATTTTTAAAAAATCAATAGATTTAAAAACATTATATTTGAAAAGAAGCATAAACATTTGCTTTGTGTTAATTAGTAGAGGTGAAAAACATTACCATTGAAATCTTCCTGATGACTATATCCATGCTCATATGCCAAGGATCTCAGAAAGTAACTGACTATGATTAGTAATAATCAGATATATAGAGATTGGAGATGCATGTGCAAACATCTAAGTGTTAGTTGCATTAAAAATGAGTTTGCCAGGCATGGTGGTGCACGCCTTTAATCCCAGCACTTGGGAGGCAGAGGCAGGTAGATCCTCTGTGAGTTCGAGGCCAGCCTGGTCTATGTAGTGAGTTCCAGGCAGCTGGAGCTACAGGGAGACCCTGTCTCAAAAAGACCAAAAAAAGAAAGGAGTTTTTCTGTATGAAACAGTATATTTTAAGATGAAATGGAGATCTTTTTTAAGATTTTATGTCTTATAGGATTTATGTTGACTATAATATTGTATAACTGCATTGATTCAACTGTGAACCTAAAAATTTATAGCCAATTTTTTTTTGGATTTTTTTGAGACAGAGTCTCTCTGTAGCTCCAGCTGTCCTGGAACTCACTACATAGACCAGGCTGGCCTTGAACTCACAGGGATCTGCCTGTCTCTGCCTCCTGAGTGTTGGGATTAAAGGCATACGCCACCATGCCCAGCTACAGCCAATTTTTAAAGAGATGCATCTTTGCTCTGGAAATTGTTATTGAATATGTCAATGCTGTTGTAATGAAATGCTTCTTCTAATCATATGGTTATTAAATAAATAATTTTTAAAACGACGTGAGAGGTAGAACAGAGTTGGTAATCTAAAGATGCCATCAGGGAGCAAAAAAAGGCTGTTCTTCTTTTCATTGAGTCAGAGAAAGTGAGACAAATGGTTATATTGGAAAAGGCACTTGGTGACCTAAAGGAGAAACAGATTTTGATTTTCTTTTTGAGAGAAGATCTCATTCTGTAGCTCAGGCTAGACTGAAATTCACAATATAGCCAAGCTGACCTTAAACTTGCAGCAGCCATTCTCCTTCAGCCTCCAAGGGGCTGGGATTGCAAGCATGTATCACCACACCTAGCCCAGGTTTTAATCAGAGTGAAGTGAAATGAGAGAAGTGAAAAGACCAGGTATGGTGGCCCACGCCTATAATCCCAACCAGAGAGGCTGGGGCAGAAGGAGTGTGACTTGGATGCCAGCCTGAGCTACAATAGAGAGATGTTGTTTCAAAAACAAATGAAACAAAACAAACAAACAACAACAAAAGTGAAGTGAGAAATAAATATAAGATAAAAAGTTTACATAGTGAGTTCCAGGTCAGATGGGGCTACAGGGAGACCCTGTCTCAAAAAGACCAAAAAAAAAAAAAAAAAAAAGTTTGTCTTCAAATAAATGGACTTTAGAGTAGATACCGGTGAGGGATCAGGAAAGGGAGGAGGGTGACTAAAAAGTTAATGAATTTAATGTAGAGTGAGTGTGGTTGAGAGCAATTGAAAGTCAAAGGTTAAAGTGGTTGTGCTTATGGAGGTGAGAAAAATATAATGGAAATGAAATAATAAGCATTTGTATAGGAGAGAACTAGATTTTAATTTGAAGAAAAAGTTATCTCTTGTGAGGCTGGAGAGATGGCTCAGTGGTTAAGAGCAGTGACTGCTTTTGTAGAGGACTCGGATTCAGTTCCCAGCACCCCACATGGCAGCTAACAACTAACTATAACTCTGGTTCTAGGGGATCCAATACCCTCTTCTGGCCTCTGTGGGCATTGCACTAATGTGTTACATTTACATACATGCAGGCAAATCACTCATAAAATAAAAGTAAACAGAAATTTTTTTTAAAGTTTCTTTGTAAGTAAGAAAATACTAAGAACAATCAGTTCTGGATACTTAAGGAGTTGAAGGATGGTAAATATTTAGGCCTGTGAAGGGCATACACGTAAGAAAAGTCACCAGACTGACCGGCCCCCTTATTTCAAGAGCTTTTCTAGAAAAACACTGAGACATGTCCCATTTGGGTATTGGTTATAGACATAGAAGCCTCTAGATAGACCAGAGTATGAGGGGCAGCCTTGAAGAGGTAGTGGGCTTGGGGAGTCTGTGACTTTGCTTGACATCACTATACCAAATGGTAGCATTTTGTAGGAAACATGCATAATTTAGGACTTACTCCTGGCTGCAAAGAGTGGAGTGTTTGTTACTACCATGTGACAGTTGTTTAAAAGAGTGTTCAAGTCACTCAGAAGCCAGTTTAGACATGTGATTCTTGATGGATTATTATTTGGGGAAATTTGTATTATGTATTTTTGGAATGAGTTAATTATTATTATAAAATCATTTTTGTTACCTAAAATGCAGCCATACATAATTTAGGTTTTACTAAAATTTATCCTTATACTCCAGGCATTTTAGACATATAAATTCACTTTATGTTTATGGTCCTTTGAAATAGATTATGCTAAGTATCTCTTACCTGGAATGCTTGGGACCAGAAGTATTTCAGATTTTGGAATTTTTCAGGCTTTAAATATTGCATAGACTTTACTGGTAGAGTGTCTGTAATCTGAAATTTTGAAATGTTCCAAGATCTGACATCCAAGATTTGAGTGCTGGCATGATGCCCCCAAACTTTCAGCTTTTGCAGCAGTTTGGATTTGAGATTAAGGGTGCTTAAACTGTGTTATTCTGTCCCCTTCTTCCCCTGCTTCATGTAGAATGAGGAAGTGGGCACCCTGATTTTTGCCCAGTGTCACCTACCTGTTATGGGGTAGACTATTCTGCTGTAGAACTAGGACTTGTCCTTCTGGCCTCAGATTCCATGCTCTGAGTGCCATACACACTATATATTTAAAGAGCATTAGTTGAGGTTTGTTTGGAAGCTATTACAGTTTTGTTTTTGTTTTTTGTCTTTTTGAGTCTGGGTCTCCATGTAGCCCCAGCTGGCCTGGAAGTCACTATGTAGACCAGGCTGCCCTGGAACTCACAGAGATTCACCTGCCTCTGCCTCCCAAGTGCTGGATTTAAAGGTGTGCACCACCACACCTGGCTTGCTATTATATTTTGAATGGCTGGTGGTTTGAGTTTGCTTATAGGTGACACAATATACATGAAAAAAGTAGCTTTCATGCGTTGCTACATGGGATGAGATTTGCTTTGTTGATTTCATAAACATTTTAAAGGTAGAGATTCAAATTCATTGATGGAAAGAGCTATTGAATGGGGAAGGCCAGCTGTTGCTATTTGAAGACTACATGAAGTGGTAAACCTTCATAAATTTGTT